TTTAAGATAACTAATAATAATCACAATTGCAATTTCGCTTCATTTGCTGCTAACAATTCGAAACAGTTTACTTTTTGGCTTTCGAAGCAGGAGCTGTTTTGAAAGAAATGAATACTATCTGGCCGGGTTTTCGACTACGGGCTTTCAGAATATAATATTAGTTTTGGTCGGTCTTCTCTGGTTTGGTGGCTGTGGTGTATCCCATTCGGGGCAATATAATCTGAAAATCTGGATAATGTAAGGCATGTGATATAGTAGCATTAGCACTAAGCAAATGGTCAACTGATTACTTGAAGTGTCATTAGGATTGTGTGGTTTCACAATAAGGGTCAAATTATTCTTTTGTAGTGGCATTAGTCAAATTATGATGTGGACTGTAGTGACAATAGCTCTCGCCGAAAAAATTTACTTGCTGTAGTACGTGTTATAAAAAGTGACTAACGTAGTGTATACGTACGTGGTGACCTTAATGCAAACCTTAGTGCAGACGGGAGTGTATATTGTAAGCCAGAGTACAAATCAATCAAAGTTTTGGCCGTTGCTCTCGTATCATTCCAGTGGCGTATTCCTATAGTAAAATTTTTCAGAGAAATCTCAGAGGATTTCCGACTGACAAAATACTTGAAATTTTTGATGAAAATGTGTTTTATCTTGCATATTCTCTCTTAATGTAGGGATACTTTGCAAATACTACCTAACAAACTAACTTTGCAAATACTACCTATTACTCCCTAACAAAATTGCCTTTTTTTCGAATATTTATTTTACCTCGAATTTGGGAGACCTCCGATGCGACAACGGTTGCATCACGGGTCTATACGGGGTTTCCCAAACGAGCTTCGTGTTCGTTTGCAGAGGCCGGATCCTGTTCTGCTTGCACAGTTTCAGCCACTACATAAAACTTTGAGTTATCATATTTCACTGATGCAGATAAATGAATAACTATCATGACATGCAGTGTTATAGAAGTATATAGAATATTGCGGAAGAATCATGCAAAAATCGTTAAACAACAAAGGTACCCCGTTGTGAAATCGGAGCCGCAGCTGTAGGAACGGCAGCATTCCCGTTGATCTTTAATGCTGCGAACTTTACGCACTTCTGCAGTTGCTCGTTGGACAGTTCCTTCTGGGACTGATTGTTCAACGTAAAAGGCTTTACCCTATCAAGCAGTTCACAGATTGTTTTTTGCATCACAGTGAACGCTACGCCGCTGCATCATTTTACTGCTTTTCAATTTACCGGATTTAGGAGCCCAACCAAATTGTCCTGGTTTATCAGTTTCAAAGAACTGCACGTAGACACCACGATTTCTGGCGATCTCCGGTGGCGTTTCCACGCACGCCGGCCAGCGGTTGTAACCTGCGTTATCTTTCGTAGTCATTGCATTGTCAATTGGAAAGCATGGCGAACCTTCTTAAGGAGACTTATGTAGCCATACCTTTTAGCTTTGCCCAGACGACTTGCCCAGTTGCAAAGGACACTGCTGACATTTTTGCAGTTACGCCGATATTACGCAGCTCAAAATTTAAAAAACAGAGCGATGTAAAGATCACGCCAAATAAAATTTTCCCGTGACAGAAATTGTTAATCTAACCGTGGAGATGTTAATCTTTAAGATAGCCATCAAACGTAATTTGGTAAATAAAACAACAGGAACAACACTGGAAAGCCGTAGCTCTGTCTTGTTTAATTGAGTGATTATGCCAGCCACTCCACGGTCGCTAGCAGCCTGTTATACGTTTGCATGGTGACTTAGGCCTTGTCCCGAATTCGAAGCGAATCTTGTTGCGATACAGCAACTCCACCTCGCGAGGTGGCTTCGCGTACCGTATCGGTAGAGCGTAGCCACTACGTACAACCACCTCGATGCGGTTGAGCAACCGTACCAAAACCACATTCGCTTCGAATGCGAGACGAGGCCTTACTTAGAAGTTAGAACGAGCAGAGCCCGCGAAAATTGAGCAGCACAGACAAAGCCATGGACAAATTATAACTCAGTGCAAAAATAAAAACTTAAAACAGTAGCCATGGGAAAATAAACAATATTTTTGGTACCACCAGGCTACACCTTCAGGCAAGTATAGGGTAATTAGGGTTTATAAGCGAAGCATAGAATTCTACAACATATGAAAGTCCACAGTTAACATTAACTTTTAAATGATTTCAGTACATTTTTATCAGAAAAAAGTAAGGTAAAATTAATGGCACTACCTTTGTCGATCACTGTCTCTTAAAAAGTCCCCATATCAATATACGAAAGTTTAACGTTTATTTTAGTTTCCGGTTACATGTATTAAAAAAATGAGGTTGTTGGAGAACTAACTGCTCATTGAAAAACGATATAATTTACAGTCTACATAGTTTCCCGTAAATCTTGATAGTCGTTAAATTAAGGATTCTGTTGTGGCCGTATGCAATTATATTCCGCTCAATTTGCGGGGTCTACTAGTACTATTATATTTTTGCTATTGTTTTGACCCCAGAACACATTCAAACCACTTTCGTGACGAAGTATTAAATTTAATGGAATTGCAAATTTTTATTTGTATTACTTAGTCGTTTTTTGCCAAACCTAAGAAATACTAAAAAATAAAAATGGCGTAATCGTAAAAAAAGTACGACATTATTAAATTTAAGTACTTTAAACCTGAGGGGTTTTTTTATTGTTTGCACATCTGATTTTTTTCTGACATTTATCACAGCAGTTTTTTTAACCTTGTACGTTTGCTAAAACCTACTGTCTTGAAACGTTGGATTTGCGTAGATCTAAATGATAAATTTTGGTTGATAAGGATTACTGAAAAGCAAAAAGCTGAGATTAAAAAGTTATCTTAGCATCATACCACACTTCTTAGTAAATTAGATGCATATAAATATGTTTTAGCTGTTTTTGGAAATGAGAAAGAGGTTTGCGATACGCTACTTCCACTGCCGAGTACCAACGCTTTCTAAATGTGATGAAACTTGTGTCAAAATAGTTTTGGAACGCATTATAAGCAATTATTCCGCTGGCTCAAAACTTTTGTGAACACTACTATGAGCACTAGGGTTAAGACTATGCTTCGAACTAGCATGACCACTTGGGTTCATACGTAGATCAAAACTAACATTAGTGCTCGCGTTAAGACTCTCGTTAAAGCTTACACTAACATTTTTATCTTTACGACCAAATATCATTTGATAAATAATTTTTTGTCTTCACGAATCGTTAATATTGCGCTACACATAATTATTTTTTGCAAAATGCTTTATGAAAAAACTTTTAAGCGGACGCTTTAGCATGAGATAAATTTGGCACAAAGACATTTCGCCGATTCGCCACACAGATATTTCGGCATGTAACTGTCATTTTTTGTGCACGCCTAATCTAAATATTCTCATTAGAATGTTTTCTTATGTTAACTTGTGTTTCCTTGTTTTTGTGCACATTTCTTGCGCTTTTCTAATATTTTTTTGTGGTTATTATAAAATTAGCCTTTTTGCTTTGCTTTAGTTTAATGTATTTTTTAATCGCTTACGTTTTCCAACTTCCCAAGTTTTCTAAAATTTAGAATTGAAGCTAAATTTCACTATGCCAAAATCACTATATACCAAAGTGTCCTTTGCCGATTTATCCTTATGCGGGTTTACCCTTATGCGGAACGGTACGTATATCAAGCGGCTACCCCTGCGCAGATATTACTAAAAAGATTTTCACCCAAATCTTTAAGTTCAGTGTTTTTAAAAAAAAATAACAAAAATATAAATGAATTGAAAACATTTACGTTGCGAACGTTTATTTGAGTGATAGTTTTGCATAAGATTTGCAGAAAAAGATTGGAGTCAGTTCGTACGGGGATTTGCTAAAGCCAAGCAAAACGGTTGTTTAAATTTGAGCGTCTGCTGCCCGTATTTTTAACAAGAGCCTTTAACCAGAGTGCTGTTCTTAGTTAATAACTGAGTATAAACCTTAGTAATCATGTTAGTCAAAATCGAAGTCTTAACCCGAGTGCACGCATTAGTATCGTCAAAAGTTTTAATTGACTGGAGGTTGCAAGTTATATTTGCGTTTTCAAGCCCATTTTGTAATTTCTGGCGTTCTTATTTGTTATTATTATTATTTTTAATTATTCATCGTGGAGCTAGGGTGACATTCTAGCTGGGATTTTAAACCTGGCCAAACAGTGAAAACTAAAACTTCGAGCGCAGATAGACAGACTCCTCAAACAAACTTGACACGGTTCAAAGCTTGCTTAAAAGCACCAATAGTACGAATATCGAACAGATCAGAAAAATTAGAATCAACAAAAAACGTCCACAATTTATTAAGTTTTCAAGCAAAGGTCGTCTCGCCAACTTTCTTCTTCTCTTCCGCCATGATCAGTGTGCAGGCGCGATCTGCAATGTCCGTTTAATTGGTTTGGAAAAAACCCACAGTGATAAAATTTAATTGCGTGGCCTAACTTTATAAATACTGTGCGCTGATGCATCGTCCGCCTGATTGCCTTGTATAGATTTTTTTTCAGTGAAAAATTCTAGCACAGTCAAGGTAAAATATGTAGTAGTGCAATAGTGAATGCAGATTTGTGGATCACTGGATAAGTTGCGCTGCTCACACCAAGGTTTCTCACATTTGGACAAGAACTAATCTGAAAATGCGAATTTACAATTTAAAATTTGATTAGGTAGTCGGCAATGACTTTTATTTGGAGATCCGGAATAAAAAACTTCGATTACGTGAGTTTGTTAGCTTGTTTGATCACAAACTTAGACTCCACAGCCAAAATTTCCAATGGATTTCATGCGAGAGTGGACGTGTAATTGCTGAAGAGAGCACGAGACGCCAAGTGCACAAAATGAACCGAATTAGGTGAATAACTCAGATCCCAACCCTCCAGCAGGATTGGATCAGAGCACAGACTCACGTGGCCAGCCGCTGTCACTGATTGGCTGACACATAAAGCAGGCCTTTATTTCACATTTTATCGGCCGCGACAGACTCGAAACGCATACAGCGCAGATACACACACAACGCCAGCGTGCCAGTTGCGAAAACTCAAGATTTTTCTTGTGTCTAGTTTTTTTTATCTTCATTAGCAGTACTTTGCTGCTGGTGTGCTCATTTCGCCATTGTCAACGTTTAACAAGCCGTGTAAAAGCGGTTTGCGAGCAAGGCCGCACATAAAACAGGCAGCCGCTGTCGATCATGCGCAACTGATGGTTTTCCTGTCGCGCTGACACACACTGGGTGGCTTAACAACCCGGCGCACACCAGCCATCTCCCGGTTCACCCGCCCCCGTGCGCTGTGTGTTCTTATCATTACACTCCCTGTGATCGGGTATTTATTGCCCGCTTATCGCTACAGCTGCGCTGCCTGCTGTGACAGGATTTTACTGACTGGCTATCTTTATCTGGCCGTGCGTTTGAATTTGAATGCTAATTTTATTCTTCTGCTCGTTTCTCTCTGTCTGCTCTCTTCCACAACTCTCTCCTTCTGATGTTCCCCTGGAAATAGAGCGCATTTCAAGTGGCAGGAGTGCGTCCATTGGGTGTTGAAGAGCCCCAGCTGCATGATCTTTATCAATTGCCTTGATCTCCTTGGTGTTGTGCTGTGTGTGGCTGTGTGACGGTGTGCTCGGACTGCACGGAGAATCGCCAGTGTGCACTTTTGCAGGCGCTGCATGCTGCCTGCGCTGAATCAGTCTTGCCATGGGTGCCATTAATAGTTGTCTGAAAAAATCCAACGGACGCGCACAAGCTCTTCCTCCGACCAGAAAACCGTTTTCCCCGCCGGAGATGGGTAATCATTCGGTAAGTGAGCGGAATGTATCGCACTCGAGTGGGTTTGTTGAGGGAATTCGAGAAAAAGTGAACAGTAACTTCTGGAATTTAGGAATTGCTGGCTGTTTTTCTTTTGGAAGGGTACAATAATACCAGATATTTTTGGGAATTTCTGGTTCTGTTAATCTGTTTTTATTATAAATCTGCTGACTATTCTATCATTTTTCAGTTTTTTTCTCATTTAAAATTTCAAAATGAGAGAATTCGTCTCTCAATAATTTTCGCTAAAGATTGTTGAGAATCTGATTATTTAATTGTATTAAAGTACTTAATCCGTTTGTTTTGATTCTGTTTTTGAAACTGGCGTGAGATGATTCGGCTTTTAAAAAAGTTTGAAAGAAATTTTGAAAATTTATTTTTGATTTAATTTATTTTATTTTGGATGTATTTCGCAGTTTCGGTTGTTGTTTGGAGTCTTTATTAGTTATCGTAGTGAAAAAATACTCTTTTTTAGTTTACTGGGTCGTTCGAAAGTTATGCTATCTATGTATGGATTGCGAATTGATTTTTCTTGTGGAATATTATCTAATTACAAAGCTCGTTTTGGTGAAAAGCTGGAGAAGAAGGTGCTTCCTTGAAATTGAATGCTGGAGAGTGTGCGTATTAGCGCGAGTATCGTTTGCACAACAAACTGGGTCGTGTTGACAATCGTTATTGGAGAAATGGATCGTTACGCTTGCGCATTATTCGAGCACTTTATGACCTACAAGAAATAACTCCAAATCGTTATGACTGATTGGCACTAGTGAATCATGCTGGGAGACTTGCTCGTCGCTCTAATCAGGCTGCTTTGTTGATGGAAAAGAATAATTAATTGCAAATTACTTATACATTTGGATTTTACAAATAATACAGAGCTGTGTTTTTGGTAACTATTTTTTATCGTTTTTATTACAATATCTTATGCGAAAATAATATAGCGAGTTTTTTTAGTGGCTGGCGAATGTTCCAGAATAATATTCAGATAATATTGTTGAAGTTCAAGCAACCAAGCAGAAATGAAGTGATGAATTATTGATGATTTGGTTTGCGTACTGCCGTACCATCTTCGAAATAGCAGCTTGAAGTCTTAGCGTTGTATCGTAGTATAAGGGCAGTACTGTGGGGCATTTTCAGAAATCGGGCTTTGCCCACTAAATATACAATGAATATGTGACGTTATATTGTTATAACTGCTAATAATTGAGATGTTGCCACTTTTTTTATGTAAATGTTGCTGGATGGTAATCATGGTATCCATATTTAGTCGCTTCAGACTTCAAAGCGACTTTCTTATCGCTTTAACCTGAAATTCTGTTTCATTTAGTTGTACTGTAGATCGCGTAGCCGTTTTCAGAAATTTATACAAAAAGTTCATTTTTTTTCGTATTGTTGCAGTCAAATGCCAATATTCTGACCAGCCACTTGCACAGCGCCCGGTCGGGTGCAGCGGGGCCTGTCCCAGGCGGCCACGGAGGTCACAGTCAGTTGCCCGCCCTCCCGGACCATCAGCGGTCAGCGGATGGCTTCACCTCATCCGGTGCCAATATCTTCGTGGCGCTGTATGATTACGATGCGCGGACGGATGAGGACCTGAGCTTTCGGAAAGGTGATCATCTGGAGATTCTCAACGACACCCAGGGGGATTGGTGGTTCGCCCGCAGTCGGACCTCGCGGCAGGAGGGTTATATTCCCAGTAACTATGTCGCCAAACTGAAGTCCATTGAGGCCGAGCCGTAAGTTTTAATAAAATTGACATTTACACGGTTTAATGAAGGTGCGGTGTTTTGGCGATGGTCAGACACAGATTTGTGTTTCTGTACCGGTTGATCGGCATCGCGTGTTGGGGATTGGCCTAATCGCGATTACATATCTCCGCAGTTTGTTGATTAGGAAATTTTCGGAAAGTGCACACATTTTCCATTAACTTAAAACTTTCAATAGAGCAATTAAACTACGAATGATTTTCTTAATTTTTGTTCTGAAAAGTACGTCATCGGCAGCTGTAAATCTTTATTGCACCGGATTGCAGCGATATACGAAATTGTTTAAGAAATCGAATTCGTAGTGTACTGGCGTAACATTAACGCGGAATCGTTCATCTCATGAACTGCGCTTCAGATTGATCGGATTTTGTATTTGTTGATTTTAGCTTATTTCTTTCAATTTTTTAAATACTTTGTTTTAAAAATCGAAGTGGTTTGTAATTTTAATCAAATAAGATTGCTTCATGAGCGTGCAAATTAGCTGAAATTGAAAATAATACTTGGTGTTTCCGATTGTTTAGTTTCTAAATTTTTGCCATTCAATCGGTTTTCGTGGCATCGCTGGCCTGAATTGCACATTTACGATCTTTCTTTCGCGCTGTTTGTAATTGAATTATGGCATTATTGCGGTTGCGAAAAATCTTTACAAATCAGTGTTCGATTGAAACCGATACAAGCCGCGAAAATTCGTGATTACGGTTATTTATCGATTTTTGTCTTTTTAAGGCTTGATGTGAACTGTGAAAGGTTCACAGTTTGATTTGCGGATTTGTAGCGGTTGGCTTTTCTCGGTGTTCGGTTAATTTACGGGAGGTGAAGGAACGGATTCATTGTTGCGATAGCAAATTAGCGCAAAATTGATTAGTGGAGAATTGGTATTTTCACATCTTTTCCATGTGGCTGCGGGCAGCATTGGTATCGTTCCATTTGTTCAAAGAGCGCGAAAGTTTTCTCGGTCGATTTTGATATATTATAAATCCATTAAATCTTTACATAACAAAACTCAAAATTTTACTTAACGAGAATGAAAAAGTTTGTTTACAATCAGACAAAGCGGTTGAAAAACAAAACATTCCCGGCAGCGTTTCCGAAAATTGGCTGAAAATTTTCAGGGAACTTTATTTTTTAAGATTTTTGGAAATAAAATAGCTGATACGGAAGTCCTAATTCGGTAGTTACTTGGTTAGTTGATTTTCGAGCTTTCTTGCTTCCGTTTTTATTTTTAACCTTTCGGAAATCGTTGCTCACTTAAATCGCGAAAAGTACGGTGCCTGGCAGAAGTTACCCGAAAATGTTACCATAATTATTTTCTCTTAATAAGGTCATGTAATGCATCCGTCTCCGGAACGTTTTAAATTGGTCTAAACCATCCCAAGCACGTAGGCGCACTTCTGTCAATTTGGTTGTTTTGAAAAATTAGCCCGACACGTTTATACAGGCCCGCTGAGCGGCCCGGTGAAATATCTTGGCGTATTTTTAGACATTCGTGGAGTGTCATTGAAATTGGCCGGTCTCATAATTGCCGGTTTTGTGAAGTGTGTTGGCATTTTCTGGTTGATGAACCGTTCTGATTTTTTCCTTATAGATGGTACTTTGGAAAAATTAAGCGGCTGGAAGCGGAGAAAAAGCTGCTGCTGGCCGAGAACGAGCACGGGGCGTTCCTTGTGCGCGACAGTGAAAGCCGCAAGAATGATTTCTCCTTGTCAGGTTAGTCAATTGCCGCAGTGCGACACACACAAGACCGACGAACACTGTGGAGGCGGTTTTTTTCTGCCGGATAAATCTGACAAGTAGTTTAATATGAAAATCTCGAAAGCTCTCGTCAGCCTTTCAAAGCGGAATAAATTATTAATCATGATAAATGAGTGCCGTTAAAAAGCTCAGGCAAATTTGAAAAAGGATATTATTTAATGATCTACTTCTGTTTTCTTGTCCTAATCGATTTTGAAATTTTCGCTTTTCTTTGTTTAAAAATAAATGACAAGTGAATAATTTTTTTATTTAATATATCTCCACTGGGAAAATAAATCACATTTTTGTACAATTTTTTGCTGTTTTTTAAAATTTTTTCTTCATTTATGTTTGCGTTTTGTCATAAATTATTTTTGTTAATTGTTTTATTGTTTTGGTTTATGGAGGGATAAAAATTTGGCAAATTGTGCGGCTTGTTTTCCTGGCTCGTGTCATCAAGGTGGCGAAGCGTGACTTGCCGCTGTAGGCCAGTTTTTTCCCTGTTGAGCTGAAACGGATAACAATAAAAATGTCGGGTGGAATTCAGGCATATTTTTCAGTATGCGCCTTTCAGCAAAAGGTGTTTTTATGCGAGGGAGGTCTGGCTGTGAATTTTATGCATTTTATTCGACGAGCGCATGATTTGGGCACGCGTATTGACAAACATTAACTGGTTTTCTTCATCTTGCGTAACACAGAGCCGGCTTTCGCTGCATTGTATGGCAGACGGATTTCCCATCCCGTTACAATTACTGCGCTGTGTGTCCCGCGGGCATGGCAATTAAGGGCGGGTGGTGTCCTGATCGTAAATTATTTGGAAACGAAAGTGATTGTAATTAATGATGGTGTACAGACAGCTGGCTTTATTCGGCCAAAAAAAGGCAGGTCAAAATTGGTGTGAGCTGCAATTAATGGGTGTTCACTTTTCGGCACTGAAAATTTTTTCAAATGTTAAAAAATCACTAAACTGTCTGAATGTGTTGCAAAATCCTCTTAATTTAACTGGAATGCACAGGCCAGCAAAATTCTGATGGAAAAAGTGAAAATAAATAATTCAAAAAATATTCCGCAGTGAATTCATTGTTTTTCCGGGATTTGTTAGCTTGAGAAAATTGCCGGTGATCCCACAGATGCCTGTAACAGATGTTATGATAACCGCGTGAAAAACCGCCGTGACAGTGTTTTTTTATCTTCGTAATGGGCCACAGTCAACATTTTTGCCGCTGCAGACATAGCCGCGCTGTACTGCGTGCGTTGGAGCATGAAAGTGACTGCTGGGCTGTTTGTTTTCAGTGCGTGATCAAGACACAGTGAAGCACTACCGCATCCGGCAGCTGGACGAAGGCGGCTTCTTCATCGCACGCCGCACCACCTTCCGGACACTGCAAGACCTCGTCGAGCACTACTCACTCGATGCCGATGGACTGTGTGTCAATCTCAAGAAGCCCTGCGCGCAGGTATGCCGGTGAATGCGTTTATAGGTTATGTTGTGGTCGGAGAAAGCGAATGACTGCCGCAAAAACTTGACACAATCCCGGCAAAATTTTTCTGACCTTTTTCTCTAGTTTTTTCTATTTTACAGCAGAGTTTTAAAATTTTTAACGTATACAGGTGATTTTATTATCGATTATTTTATTATTCTTATTATTTTTTAATTAATTTACTGCTGGGGATTGAAACAGTTGAAAAAAATTAAATAGATTGTTTTAAATTTTACTGCTTACTGTAGGATTTTTGGTAGATGATTTGTTTGAATAGAATGAAAAGAATGCGCTGGCGTACGAAAGCTGTTATGCGCAGACGTCATGTTTCGCGATTTTTTACGATATTTCCGCGCTTCCGTTGACGCCGCATGGCAGTGCGAGAATGGAACGCACGCAGTAGCAGTTAATCGGTTGATAAACGGAAATGCGATTATGGACAAAAATGTCGCGCCGATAGTCAGCAAAAGAATGGAGAACGTTGACCGATTGCGCCGAAAATGACGCGTGCGATAAGAGCCTTCCAAGGGATTAGTTTGATTTTCTTTATCTGCCCACAGCTGAGTTGTCATAGGAATTCTGTCGTGCGGAAGAGTTTTCTCGGTGGTGACAGGAGAAACTTTCCAAAAAACCAATCAGAAAATCGTAGTGGTTCATTTCATAATCTTACATTACTATTCTTCTTTTATTAGATATTGTATTTTTCAGGGCAAATAAATTTATAAATAGTTGTCTCATAAAATAAAATAAGAGAACGTGAACTGGTAAAATTTGGTAGATGCACACTTATCGGAAATAAGAATCGTTCAGAAACAGAATGAAAATAATTTAAGATCAAAAAATTTCCTGTGTTAATAGTATTAAGTTTATAGGTGGAGCGCCCAACGACAGCTGGTCTGTCTCACAATACCATTGACCAGTGGGAGATTATGCGGGAATCCTTGAAATTCGTCCGCAAACTCGGCCATGGACAGTTTGGGGAAGTATGGGAGGGTTTGTGGAATAATACAACGCCGGTCGCCATTAAAACCCTGAAACCAGGTATTTACAGGCATTTATCGGCGATTCAAATTTGTAGTTATTTTTCGGTGTTTCAAAATAATTATTCCAATTATTTGGCTAGCTTGGCTTTTTGTTCGCGTTATTGTTCTGTTTTTGCTCGAGTTTTCCCGTTAGCCTTTTGTTTACACATACGTAGCCCGCTTTGTAAAACCCGATGTTTTTGAATTTCTGATTGAATGGATTATGTATCGGTTGTGCGGCGTTTGGCACACAAAAACCAGTTGTGGGGTTGTGTAAGCGAAATGGATTAATGCGTGATTATGCCATCTTTTACTACAGATTTGTACTACGCCAGCCAAGTGTGTGTCGTAACCCGTTTGTAATTAATTTGAAAGATGACTGGTTTCTTGCACTGTTTACAAGCGGTTTTTAATTTTTCAGATTCTTGCATTCATTACGGCAATTTCTGAAGAAAAATATGGAATAATTATAACTAATTTGGCACTTATTACTAAAGTATCCGAATTCCATGCGAGCTTGAAAAAATTCCAATTTTTAAAGCAACAAAATAAGTATTATAACCATTTTATTACGTTGCAGCTGACTTGAAATTGCTATGCAGCTTCGCTGTCTCGTGAATTGTAATTTTTAAAAAATGCAGAATCATTTGAAAACTTTCTATCGTTAAATAAGTACGAGTACGGATAACTGCGCAGAATGCGATCTATTATTTTGTGGTTGATTATTTTTAGGCACAATGGATCCGAAAGATTTCCTAGCGGAAGCACAGATCATGAAGCGTCTGCGGCACAATAAGTTGATCCAGTTGTATGCTGTGTGCACCCTGGAGGAGCCCATCTACATTATCACCGAGCTGATGAAGCACGGCAGCTTGTTAGAGTATCTGCAGAGTCCACGCGGACGCCAGCTGAAATTACCGCAGCTCATCGACATGGCAGCACAAATTGCCACCGGGATGGCCTATCTCGAGTCGCAAAACTATATTCATCGCGATCTAGCCGCCCGCAACGTCCTCGTCGGCGAGAATAACGTCGTGAAAATTGCCGATTTCGGTCTGGCTCGATTAATTCGAGTCGGGGTAAGAAATATCCTGTTTTATATTGCTATGTATTTGTGAACGATTAAAAATGTTAAAACTAGTGAAACTTCCAGATAGAAGATAGAAACTTCTGTTTTTGACAGTTTGATAAAAGACAATCAAATTTTGTTTGAATTCTCAGAAATCTGGGTGATATTCCATTAATTCTTTTTTATTTTTACAGAATTTTGACAAATTAATAAAAAAGCAAATAAGTTTATTTGAGTAGGTATTATATCACGAATAAATAATAAATGCCTTTGCCGTGAAGGATAAATAGAATTTTACGGGAACGTGAAACTGTTTGGCAAATATGTATTTCGTTTTGATTGCTGACTTCGCAAGTATCGGCTGAAACAAAGAAAAACTAACACGATATCATGGGGAAATATTTGCATGTTTTGTGTACCGGGTCGGTGTTTTGTTGACACCTGTCGCGAAGGTTTGGTCAGTTTGCTCCGTTCCGGTGTGAGTGAGATGTTTGAATGGTTAATCTCGGAGTAGTGGTTGTGTTTATGTGGGCATGTGCTCGCTGTGACGGTCAACAGATCCGCTTGATCGGAGCGCTAATTACTGGCGCTGTCCGTGTCAGCATCCTTGATCCCGATCGAGCCGCTTGATACCCATGTTTTCAACAAAAACAATTAACCTTGTTGACTTCGCAACTAAACAGCAGAATCAAATACGTAGTGAAAATGCACATTTAATGATTTATTTAATGAATATAAGAATTTGTGTACTTTTTAACGAAAATATTAGTCAAGTGTACGTGAAATGATTTTTAAAAATGTGATAATTGTATGATTTAATTGAAAAATGTAAATAAAATCGGAAAAAATACTTGAAGGAGAAAATGTAATAAAATAGGAATAATTTGGCGTTTTAGAATTAAAATTAAAATCTATTTCATTCATTGTTTGTTTTTGTAAAACGAATTAAAGTAAATTTCGTTTGACTTGCTAGGAGGACGAGTACGAAGCACGTGTGGGAGCACGTTTCCCCATCAAGTGGACCGCGCCGGAAGCGGCCAATTACAGCAAGTTCAGCATCAAATCGGACGTGTGGTCATTCGGTGTGTTGCTCATGGAGTTGTACACGTACGGACGCATACCCTATCCCGGTGAGTCAGTCAATGACTGCCCTGACAATCATGTCGCTCTTCATTTTACACCAGCTACACCCTCCTGTTTTGCCTGTTTTATCACGATTACCGTGCTAAATAATTTTTTAATAATATTACTACTGAATTTTTTAGTCAAAAAACCGGTTATTTTTGTTACGTAAGTTGTGTAATTATTTATTGTAATTATTATTGCCGTTTTGGCATGCGTTCATGTTTATTGTTGATTCTTTTTACAGTAGTTGTAATATTTCATACATGCTTTGTATGAAAGACGTGTAACGACTTCGACTTTCATTTTGCATTTGTAATGAGCTTAATAATGCATTCAGCAGCGAACGTTTCGATAACCTTTGTGTTTGTTTGGAGAGCGGTCGGTTGGGTGGCGGTGCGCAGCGTGTAGTGTATTGGCAAATTCATGCATCAGCGCCAATTAGCCGCTGAAGCAGCCCCATAATTGCGCAATTCCCATTGAACTTGAACGCTGCTTAAACTTTTCTTGCGGCTACTTATTGGGTCGTGCGCAATTAATCTGAATTCGCGTCTGTAATAGTTGGGCTATTCGTATGCTAATGCTGCGCGAGCGGGCGTTCGATTCGCTGGTGTAAAAGAGTGCAGGTTTCTTGATGGTCAGGTCAAGTGTCGCGGCACCGAATTTATGATGAGAAGCAGACCTTCAAATGCTAATTAAAACGCCCGGCCACAACAACAACAAAAGCACACAAAGAATTTGAATTTTTATGAACAGATCGTTGTTAAATACTGTATATAATTTTTTAAACGAGAAAGCTAGCATCATCAATATTAATAATTGGTAAGTTAATGTGCAGCGTCCCAATAGAGCAGAATTAATTAATTACAATTTTTGCCCGTAAATTTATTTGTTCTTTTGTAAATCTTTTTACTTTTGTCAAAAGAGAAAAAAGCTGCAGTGGTAAAAATTACGTATGACGGTGATGACATTTACCGGTGTATTTTGTAAATTAATTTAAAAATCATTATTGGGGAAAATTGTGATCTTCCATTTTTATCGTCGTAGTTTACTGGAAAAAAATTGAATATAGCAGTTAACAAAATCTGGTATAATTGTAAAATATAAGTCAAAAAAAGTAAATGTAAAGTTAATTTATTAGCCAAATATACTGTAAGTCCAAAATTCGAAGTTAATTTATTATGATTTTCCTGGTGTTATTATTACTGTTTTTATATAAATCGTATTTATCAATAATTTGTTCGTAGGCATGACCAATGCGGAAGTGCTGCAGCAAGTGGAGAACGGCTACCGGATGCCCATTCCCGACAAATGCCCGGCTGAGTATTACAAAATCATGAAAGACTGCTGGCACAAGGACCCGATGAGCCGGCCCACCTTCGAGACGCTGCAGTGGCGTCTGGAGGAGTACTTCACCGCCACCGGCACCGAGTACCGTGAAGCCACCACCGTGGCCTAAAATGCCCCGCTCTTCCTCCCCCTTGTGCGCCCCGTGGTGTCTTTGTATCTCTCGTTGATATTCGCGACAGGACCACACTTGTTTGTAATCTGAGTGTTCGCGTTCGAATTTTCGTGGGACGCGACGCTGCCTCGGCTGGACTATTTTAATTGGATTAATTTTAAAATGTTTTTTTTTCTAGTAAATTTATACCGTTAGTATTGTGCTTGACTCTCTCTCTTTGATTTCAGTTCTCGGCCTGTGTGTGCGGGCTTTTTGATGATCCTGGTTTACTTTGTATCGTGGGCTGCTTTTTTGATTTTTATTTTGTTTTTATTGGCAATTTTGTGGCGGCTGTGTTTTGGGCAGCCTCGTATTTGACCGGATTTTTAGATAGTTTTATTGTGGTTTTTTTTATTGATCGAAAAAACCGCCATGTGTTCAGTGTTCTGGCTGATCTGATCTGGTAATGCTTATTATGCAGCGCGGCCTCTGCTTATAAAATATTATTTCAGCTCTTGTGTAAATCCTTTGCAATAAAATTCTCTTGCGCTGAAAACACAAATCAAAATACATGCTATCAGTAAAATAACACCACAAAATGAATCCAGAATCATGTTCCTACAGGTAGTATGCTGCATGTACATTTAAAATTTTGAATTGATTTGATTGTGTCCATAAAGTTAAGAATGGCAATAATTTGGTCTCGGAAAACGCAGATTGTACACAAAAATCCACACGAACGGATTGAAAAATTGTCTTAAAATATTTCTTTACAGAAACTTGAATAACGTACGGGAAAATGTTGTACACGAGTAATATGACTTCTACACTAGTAAAATATCTGCTTCTAGTTGTACTGTAGTACTTGCTTTTGTCTGTGCAAATGACGCAGGACAGAGGGACCTTTCCGGAAGTCAGTTTTGTCCAATATCCATGAATCCATTCTGGCGTGTACTGCTGACTTTCGCCAATGTTTTACACATGAAACGGGATCGATAATTATTTGTAGCATATTCTGCTATATAACTTAAGAATGTAAGAAAAACAATTATGTGTAGTCCTGAAAAAATGCTACACAGACCACTGTCCACTAGACCATTGACTCCTTCCGTATTGCACTCCGTATCGACGCATTCCGTATTGCGACTCAGAATTAAAGCGCCACCGCCTCCGAGTGGGCGGTGTGGCGATCAAACGAAATTAGAGAACACTACTGACTTTCGCCAAACTTCCGCTTCCGTCACCATTTGTCGAAAAATATTTTCGCTCTTCTTATTAGCCTTCTATTACACTCATAAATCATAATTACAGTAATTTCTTATGTAGCTTCAGTCCCGTGAAAAATATCTTCAGTTGACTTTTTATGCGATTTTTTCCTGATATTACGATCTTGAAATGATACGAGATTTTATCCAGTTAATAAAAGCGTAAGTTGCATGTCCGCAAGCAGGTGACGATAACAGCTGAGCGTTGAGAACTTAAGCATGTTCAGAACAAACATTTGGCGCTACGGCGTTGTTGCCGTGATTGACGACAGCGGACGCATTCGTCACGGTATGATCGTCGATCTGGTGGCAGACGGAGGGGACTTCATCGTTGACTTCGACTACCCCGACCACCACGCCGAGCGCGTCCCCCTGGCCAGTTGTGTAGCGCTGCAAAAGCGCTACCCACTCCCCGTGGGGCAGCCTGTTCGCGTCCTCCTTCAACGTCAACCTGACCAGCCGTGGTGTTGGTACTCCGCTCAGCTGCTCGCTCTAATAAAGGACGGATATCTGGCATTTCAGCGTGAATCGGCGTTGGTGGGGGTGTACGCTGATGGAGATACATTTCGCGATGTTGTACCGTGTGGAACAATCTGCGGAGCGGAGCCTTGGTGTCCTCTGACCAAGAAATCGCGTTCAGACACGATTACATACTGTGATGCATATTCCAGAAAAAATTGTATTTTTCGCCAGCATCAGGTGAAACTGCCCAATGAATCTGTACTGTTCAAGTTGACGGAGAAGGAGGGATTTCGGGAAGAGTGGAATAGCTTGACGACGTCGGTACTGGTCCACATCAAGCTCGTGGCTGAAACGCTGCTGATTCGCTACATATCGACGGAGAAGAAGGCATTTGGAGAGGAGCATTGTGTATGTACTGGTATTCGGATCTGCGATTTGCCATACTGCCCCAGAATTTAATTTAATCATTTTTTCGTTTTTTTTTTCATTTTTGGATCGTTGGAAGTTATTCCTACGAGAAAGCTGCTGATTTTTTATGTAATTTTATTTTTTTTATTATCTTTTTATTTTTGCGTATGGAATTGTCTGTATTGATGGATATTGCTTTTACCTTCTACAGATACGGTACTGGCTAATGTCGCCTTTGTCCATTTTTGCCTTTCTTTGTATTCTGGACTTTTTGAGTGGAAATATCTGCGGTTTTTTGCAGAAAAACCTTGTCCTTCGGATAAGTCGTACGTTGAACAGTCCGGAAAGAAAGAAGCTGGCAGGCGAATCCTCGCACGAGAACCGAAAACGCTGCAGACTTGACTGCGATGAAGCACTCCTCCCATCTCCTAAGGTATAGATACTTATTTAATTTTGACAAGAGTTCATTAGATTGCCTTCTGAAAAGTACTGCGGGTTTTCATACACATGGAAAAACTCCAAAAGTATCATAAATTTATTTAATTTGAAAGAAATAGGGATATCTAATACCTGTGATATATGCTAAAATTAATGCTTTTCTTAGGTAGACGCTGCTGTGATAGACGGCAACGATGTACCTTGGCGCGTTCTCCCTATGATTCTCGTATTAGAATCACTCTCCTGCCTTGCTGTGGACCAGCAGATGAAATACCGTCAAGTCAGCCGTGACTGGAACACGGTATTCGCTACGGTTACCACTGCATCGCTACATCTCTATCTCGAGGTGGACTTATCAAGCATCCCCGTTAAGAGACGCCGGTTAGCCTTCACGTTGAGCCAAACCATCACGTCGTCCACCAAAACCCTCATCGTCACGACAGCCGCCGAGAATCGCCGGCAAGCACAGTTCGCGTGCGAAGTGGTGGATTGTGTGGCGCAAGTGATAGCGGCGATGCAGATAAAAATCCCGTTGATTATCTTGTGGCATGTGGCAGCGGATTTCCGTGATTTGATTCCGTACACCCCCGGTTTCACTGATACCGCCTTGTTGCCCTCCAAGAACAGGCAATACCGCGAGCGGCGGTGGGCGTGGGCCGGGGTTTGTGATCGGCTGATGCTGCGGGAAGTGCTGACGTTGGTGCCGTTCGATTGCGCCGGGGAAACGGTACTGGCTGGGTTAAAGAAGTTTTATGCAGTGGAGAAGCACTGCTGGTTGTACGATCACCTTGCGCCCGGCGTTTGTATCGGAGCTGCTCAATGGGATGCGGAGTACAGTAAGCATGTGCTGCGAGTGGCGAAGAGTATTATGAATACGAACACAACGGCTACGTAGCCCGGCTCTTGATACGTCATGTTTGCTAAGTGGTGGTCATGTTGGCTATGTGGTCATGTTTGCTGTGTGGTCCTATTGGTTTGATAAAGATGTATCGGTACGAGCAACTTACGTACTGTGTAAAGCTCACTTCTGATGGCACAATTCTCTTGGAATCTCATGGAAAAATAAAATGCAGAAAGATGTTTTACCACGACAAGTGTGTTCATCGTGTGCGCTGTAATTCATCCAGGAAGCCGGAAGTCGCAAAGAATACTTGATATAATCTCCTTCCCTGTCCTGAGATGACACTGTAGCGAATTCGTTACCAAGCCTTTTGGTCGTGTGTAAGGCAAACGCCAGTCATTTCAAGCCTGGTAAAACCGCAAATTTCGACAGAAGTATAAAATGCGCTACTAAGTGTTGTGCATTTGGCGAAAGCGATTTATAACGTGAATTAGATCGAAAACGATAGAAAGTAGTACTTCAGTACATTGTTACCTGCATTGCTGTGTGCATTGTGTAGCTTTCCGCAACACCATGGTCGGGTCATTTGCAAAATAAACAGCACTAGGTTGACTTACGTACTTCAGAATATGTCAGTATTACGTATTTCTGCTCCGTTTCCAGCTTCTACAGATATCTCGATATATTAACAGAGCTGTTGCGATGGTCGTTCTGGAAGAACATCCGGGTTTGAATGTGTGCTCTGTACAACGGATCGACGAAAAAAGTGTCTGTTTATAATTAGCTGATCTCGCGAAACCTGTCGAAGTTTACCGACTTTTCACAAGTGCTCTAACCACATTTACAACATAGAATTTTAAAAGCACACCTTTTACAGTTTTGTATGCATAAAATCATTACGAGTACAAAAAATTCACAACCGGTATTATAAATCATTCCGCTTTGGTTTTCTTATTGTATCCGGTGGTGCCTGATCTCGGTAGCAAGTGACTGTTATTTTACTGGAGTTTCAAAGAAGTAGCACGTACGTATGTCAAAATCATTTTGCAACAGGGCTAGTCTGCGATCAACCCAGGCGATGAACACACCGGATGGACTCGGCGGCGGTGTTTTGGATGCGCTGATACCGATGGACTGTGTGGCGGAAGTGATTGCGGCGATGCGTATTAAAATCCCGCTGACAATCCTGAGGCAGGTGGTGGCTGATTATCGTGACCTGATCGTGTATTCCGTCAAAGCCTTCGGTGACGGCTGTCTGTCGCAATTAGAAATCGCCAAATACCGTGACCGGCGTTGGACCTGGGTCGGTATCTATAGAATGCTTCGACTACAGAGGGTGCGGATTTTGGCGCCGCGTTACTGCTGCGGACAACGGGTGCTGGCTGGATTAAAAGTGCGTTATGCTCTGAAGAACTATCGGAGTACGGTGCGGATGTACTGCAGGTAAAGAACGGCATCCTGAAGACAAAAACCAAAAAGGATTGTAGTTACTAGAGGGGACACACACAAAATGTCGAAAAAGTGGTTTAATTTACTTCAATAAAATTTCATATGCTCATTGTGCTCAACTCAATGCATGTTGTACGAGCTCCACTGCGTACAACCTTGGGGGCAAATTGTACAGCAGTTGCCCGGATTCTGTGTCACTTTTCTCGGTCACCAGAGACGTCCTGAACATATCCCAGTGAAATGGAATAGCTTGTGCGGTAGTGATGTGATATTTGTTTTTCTCTTTTTCTAATTAATAATTTAGTGCAACTTGATCTTGTGCAGCTGAATTCTTGCACCTTGCTGCGACGCTTTGTACAGTAGTTTTGAGAGTATCATGCATCCAAATTGTCTTCCATTTCAAGGGGGCTATGTCCCGTTGCGAGAGGACACTAAGCCATATGAATACTTCGGGAAGCCGCTAATTTGTAATTTACTTGAAGTGCTCATTCGAAGCGGCGGTAATCGTGACCTTTCAACTCCCATATGGCCGTCGGAACGCTTTATTCAGCTTGCCGGTCGTTTCCTCACTTTTTCGGATATACTGTAAGATGTTATGCAACATCTGCTGGAAGTTCTTTACCATTTCGAGTCGTTTCAATTCGATCGCGAATGCAACCTCCACCAAAACTGCCCGAGATACGCTATCACGGACGTCGGGTCAAATGCGAATCATTATCCGACCAGCGGATTTTTCATGGAGTCATGTGCTGATATGGACTGAGTAGCGTAAACCTCCTCGAAAGAGCCCTTAGCAAAATAAATAGAAGTATACACAGAGGTATATTACGAGTATTATTGCGCGTGAATGATTACTAAATTTTGCCTCTAGCACTACAAAGCTGAATCCAGGCAAATAAATATTCTGCAAGCATGTTGTGTTTCTGGCATGCATTGGCAACAATTATAATATTCGGCTGACAAAATATTTCGATTCCATACTTCCATGCGTATAACATGCAAAGCTCTCTATAATTACGATCTGCTGAAGTGCTCATTCAGTTATCTGTCTTCGCTAGTGAATAATGAAGGGATTTCTTCGAAGGTCATCACTATGCCTGATTGTTTGTATTGCTGTTTTTACCGGTCTCGCTTTCTCGGCTGCTAAACCAAACATCGCCTTGTTAGGATTTACCGGGCGGACCAATGCAACATTCGGTCCCGGCGGCTTTGGTGCTGTTTTGGATAAAGGAGAGGAACTTTTACAAGCCAAGTACGGATCGCAACTGAATTTTACAAGGAAGTTATTTCTGAGTTCCTATCCCATACGGTGCGATGAACTGGAGTCCATTGCGGCAGTGTGGGCGAGCCAGTTTTACTACAGTGCAGAAGCACGGGATATTGCCGGCATGGTGATGATTGGACCAGGTAAACAGTATGAATTCAGCCGTTACAAATTACGACCGTGTACAATATTAACAATTACATAATATTGTACACATATATACATTATATGCATAATACCTGAATTTTGTTGTTTAACTGCTCTTGCTTTTTTTGTGTAGATTGTATCAAGGCCGCAACATCGATAAATTACATGGCTAAAGGTGGGAAAAGGTTGCAATTAAATCGTCCAAACAGGAATTATACCTATGTTATGTGCACAATATACATTTTTTTCAGAATGGAATGTCCCCATATTCAGCCCACAGTAAGCTTCCGTAACAGTATAAGCTTCAATATCGATGTCATTTCGTTCCATGCCCCAATTTTTAATGGCTCGGGTTGGCTCTCCGAATTCTTGTCCACTCCATTTTACAGAACGCAGATGCTGAATTCGGAATTATACGATAACAGGGCACAGTATCCAACATTAACGCGCATTGCTCCGTTCATCCAGGATGATTTGGATAAGGTCATCCGAGCCGTGCTTACGGCGCTCAATCGCACCACAGTGGCATTACTCTGCGATGACGCGTCCATTTATGGCCGCGCGATAGATCGTCAGTTGTCTTCCTTTATTGTGTTATGCCAAGCACTGCGCAGGGGTCTTGAAAAAGACAGGAAGACGGCTCTTGCGCTTTTCTATGCCAACACTGCCAATACATCACATGTCCAGAGAACCCTGGTGAAAGCCACCTCGTTCGCGACAGGTATTTGTAAAAAATCAGAAACTTGCTTTTCATAAGAGCACAGAAATAATTTTGTACCATCCAGCAAAGAAAATGCATTGTTCTTTATTTTAACGCATAAGTTAATAAGGATTATACAAGACGCACGATTACTTACTAGTACTTTTACTCGTACTTATACACGAATTCATGTATAAGTACGAGTAAAAGTATTCGAATACTTTCCGTTTTACTTGTACGCGCGTCGTACTTATACACGATTACTTTCCGTTTCACCGCGGGCCGTTAATTAATGGTCAAAGCTATGCGCAGGAGTTTTGTAATTGTAGGAAACTTTAGTACATCAAAATTTTGTATTTAAAAAAGTTGTACGAACCCGCATTGCACGTACGACGATCGTACATTATAATAATATTATATTAGGCGGCATTCATAAATTACGTCACACAAGTTGGGGGAGGGGGGAGGTCCTGAAAGCGTTACTGTTGTTACAAAGGGGGAGGGGGGTATTAAAAACTTGCAACGATTCTGACGTCACCATGCTATATCTATGGAGGGGTTCTAAATTTGTTACGTAGCGCTCAGGGGAGGGGATCTGAGTTTGTTAGCACTGGTGACACAAGGGGAGAGGGGTATCAGAATGTCGAATTTTTGCGTTACGTAATTTATGGATGCCGCCTTACTAGTATAATAAGTAATCGATCGTACATCGTACATCTGTATTACTGTGCTTAATACACAGTAAGCACAGTAATACAGTAATACAGATACACAGTTACACAGTTATTAATCTGTATTACTGTGCTTATTACTATAATTTCTTGACGATTAATTAAGATTTGATTTTCTTTTGAGTATTGATGGATTTCGGTATTATCTGGACCGTTGAATACCGGTTTTTCTTGTAGTTGATGTAAGTGACGCTCTTGTCGGAACAGGTACGACGGAATCAACAGTCCGGTGATAAAAGGCTCGGCGTTGCGCGCCCTGCAGGGTGACCCCGCCGGAGAGGCCAGTATCCTGCAGCTGACGGAGGCGCTGGACACGTATCTACCGGATCCGCTGCGCGACTACTCCGCGCCCTTCCTCCTCCCCGTGGAATCTTGCTTCTTGGTGCCGAACCGCGGCGCGGTGGCCGTCGGGACGCTGGTGCAGGGCACCATCAAGAAGGGCGACCCGGCCGAGATTCTCGGGCACGGCACGCACCTCAAGACTGTCGTCACCGATATTCAGGTCAGGAAAATATCTCCAGTGTTAGAAAAACTTTTATCGCTTTATTTTTTTTTTTTTTTTCATAATCAGTGCTTTTTGTAAATAATCTTGGGGCGTGCAAGGGATTTATTTTTGAATTTTTTTTAAAATAGTTTCATGTATTTTAGTGGATTGTAATTTTTAATTAAAATCCGCTAAAATTGCCAGTGATTTCCGGGAGTGTCAATAATGTCAGGTTTTTTTCGTAATTGGCTGAATTCGTATTTGATTTATTTTGGAAATAATTTCGGGTGTGGGAATAATTTTGTTTGTTTTGTTTCTTATTCGACTAATTTAGTGGAAATGCAATTACGATTTAATACGGTTGTAATAATTATATCCTTACTGGACAGTTTTGCTCTGAATCGAAATTTAATTGATTTTGAAAAATTATATTAATTTCGGTGTGTAATAATAATTCAGTGTACGTTGTGTGTTCTGCAGAGAATTTATTAATATTATAGTTTCGGTTTATTATTTTTTGGAAGTTGTTCTTGGATTGTTGTTTGTTAGACTTATTTATTTGCAAGTGGTGTCTGTATGTGTAAATAATTCAGTTTATGCCGTTGATGTTTCCAATAATTTGCAGTTTGCTCGTTTTAAAATTGGCCCATTTAAGTTACAATTTCGTTTGGTTTATTTTGTGAAGAATTTACGAGTATTTGAATAGGTCTTCAAGCAGTCCATTCCGCAAGTGGAAGCCGGGAAGAATGTCGGTGTGTTATTACGCGGAATCAAAGCGGCGCAGGTGTCGCGCGGTATGATCCTGGCGCCGCCCGGCCGCTTCACCGCCCACAATCGCTTCCGCGCCCAGATCTACTTCCTCACGAAACATGAAGGTGTGTTGATACGGTTTTCAACGTAATTATACAGTAAAAGCTTTTTCCAGCAGAAAATAATTGGAAAACAAAACTTGCATTTCGTTCATTGGCGCGTTAGGAAAGACGCGGGCGCATTTGAGACAAGAATCGCTTCTGGCTCTCCTCACTGATTAATCATACCGGAAAAACTCGTACAAAAAATATTGTGTACCTTTTTTGTTATAAAAATAAGGTGTAAAAATAATTTTTTCAACGTTTTATTGTTTTTTGGCAGTTTGGAAAATTTTCCGGCTGTTTTGTGCGGATGTGCTTTGAGTGTGCAGTCGATTTCAGATGACTCACTGATCTACGTTTTTCTCAGTTCAGAAAATAAACCGTTTTGGATTTCAGTGCATTAACACACTATTACGGTTTATTTCAGAGCAAAAAATTGTTTGACAAGTAAATCGAAAACCCCTGGAAAAAGAATATAAAATTAAAAAAATTCAAAAATAAGCATTTGTTAATATTTTTTTAGATAATTAAATTACAGAAACAGAATTACCTGCTTTAAATAAGTACAGAAATGAATAGTAGCCTAATAATGTGATTCATATGTCGCTATACTCGTATAAATGAAGAAAATTACCGGTTTGCGAAATTAAAATCGAAAAAAAAATCGAACGATCCGCACTGTTAATAAATTAACATAAAAACTGGGAAAAACACAATAAATTAGTTACATATAGTTCGGCTTTTTGTGTCTGTCTATGGGAAGAAATGAAAAGTAGTTGTAAATATATAAATCAAAGGTTGTATCCTTGTATGTCCTGGGTTTGATTCCTAGGTTGGGTGGATTTTTCTCTCATAAAAATCAAACCAGAAATGTATTTAATTGTCCCCTAGCCTGGTAAGATATCTCCGTTAATGAGTCTGGCTGCTGTAGTTGCAATAATAAAATCAAAATAAACAATCTTGAAGAAAAAATAATTTAACGCAGACCGCGTGCCGTAGGCGGCCGCAGTAAGCCGATCCGCAGCGGCTACGCGCAGCAGCTCTTCTCGCACACCTGGGACGTGGAGACGCGCCTGGACCTCCCGCCGGGCGTGGACATGCTGATGCCGGGCGAGCACAGCGAGGTGTTCGGGACGCTGCTGCGCGAGATGGTCCTCGAACCCAATCAGCGCTTCACGGTGCGCGAGGCCAACAACCAGACGGTGGCCACCGGCGTCATCACCAAACTGCTGCCCAGTGTGCGGGTGGACCGCAGTCTCGGCAAGCTGGACGGCGCGAAGCTGGTCACGGAGGCGGGGGATGTGATGGAGCGGGATGGCGGTGCGCCGAAGAAGGCTGTCGTGCGGAAGGCGCCCAAGACCGCGGAAAAAGCCGCATAATTCCGGGTTGTTTTCGGGATTTTTTTGCGGGTGTTGTTGCCGCTAGTGTGTAGTCATCTGTGAAATGCTGATTCGGGAGAAAATTCAGGAGTAAAAAATTTGCGGAGAAAATGAAGAAAATAATAAATAAATCAACGATAGAAAATTAATACCAATTGTGGGGAAAATAATATGTTACAAGGAATGAACATAATAATTATAGGAAAAATGGTCAATATTACTAGATTAGTAGCACCGATAAATAACATAATTATGACCAACTACAGAAAAGTCTGCATAAATTAGTGCCGATTTTCGGCGCGTTTGATTCGGGAATTTTCGGGGGATTTTAACATATCCCGAACTAATGGTAACTGAACAGTGAACATCACCGGCTAACAACTGCTGCCGATTTATTACAGTAATAATTATTATGGTTAGCCAATTTCCATATAATTGTATGCAGATGATTATCAACCGCATTGATCTGCTTCAGTTGTTAGAAGCGTCAAACGAGCGAATGACAGATTTTATTAGCGACAACGTTCGCTCATGCAATCCGACTAATAAACTACATTATAACAGATCGTTAATAAATGTTCCTGACAACCAACACGAAATGGAAAAACACTGCAGATAAAGCACTGCGAATACGACTTGACAAGTAAAAAATATTTTATCTCCTTCCGATTTGAACACACTGTGCTACCAGCCTATCAATACTGTTGAAACCGAGAGAAAAACACACAGTGCGACGGTGCATAGTCACTTTAGTCAGTGCTGGTCGGCTATAATATTTTACAGCGCGATAATGTGCTGGGCCAGTCGCTGTAACGCCGGTTCGGCGCTGCTCTCGCGGGCGTCGGCATGCTGGTCACGGCGCTCCGGCGGCTGTCCGGGCCGGGCCACCCCCCAGGCGAAGCTGACCCCGTTAAAGAGGAGGAAGGCCGTGTCGTCCTGGGCCCGCTTCACCGGGCGGAAATGCTGCTGCAGCATACGGCCCATAATGGACTGCATGTCGTCCAGGGTCTCCGGGGAGGCGCCGGGATGGCCCATGATGAGGAGGGCCGGGAAGACGCCGTGCCCGCCCGGCAGCAGAATATCCGTCACCTTCTGCAGCACGATCAGGGGGCGCTGCCATGCCGGGTCCTTGCCAATGACGCCCGTGTCCCACCACTCGTGGACGTAGTAGCCGGCGGTGTCCAGGCGCAGGCTGCTCTCCACCGCGTCGCTCCAGGCGAAGAACCATTCCTCTGTCAGCGCCGCATCGTTGCGCAGTGACAAGCCCTGGCGGGCAGCCGCGGTTAAGGGCCCTTTTTCGCTAAGCATAACAGTCAGAAACGTTCAATAATGCAACAACGCCCGCCAATTTGTAACTTCGCTTTACATCGCTGCAGATGTCTGGTTGTAGTGCAGTGGCTTCGATGGCCTGGCTGCAACTGTAAAACGCTTTCGTTACTGATTTCTGACAATCAGATTGCATTATATATATATTGTCTCAATTTCATTAAAAAATTTTTAGTACCCTGGGAGGAATATATTATCTTGCTTAATCGGATGGAGAAAAAAATCGGTTTAATTAGAATAAAAATTTTATACGTCTTAAATGCGCGTTTTCGCATTGGATTACAACGAATCCGGTACTCATTTCGACCAGACAAAGCAATGCCATTTTAACAACCGTAATTTTATTGTCGGAGTCCCATGAAAGGGCTGTCTGCTCCAGGAAGGAAGGATAATAATAATAATAGTAATAATAATGACATCAGCGCGGCTTACCCAGCGCACACCGCGGCCATTTCGTGATCAGGATTATTTTGGAAGATTTCATCGAGGAAACGGTCTGCTGTCGGTTTCATCTGGAAAACCGAGACACCCAGTTATCAATCATCAACAGTAGAATGATTAGCGAATTTTTTAGATTAGCACAATATATATAACACAATACTTAGTTAATTGCACGCATATATGCTTAAACACTTTCCACATTCTCCGCACTATTAAAATTCTGCACAATTTTCCACATTTTAATAGTTCAAGAAAAACAGTGATTTGGGATGCATACACTGTCACTTTCCGGGATGATGAAGCGTTTATACTTTTCAAGGATTTCATCGCGCCGATCCGGATCGTGCGGGTACAGGGATTTCTTGGCCAGCGTGACCAGCATCTCCCGCCGCAGGCGCATGCCCAGCCGCGAGTGCAGATCCACTTCCGGCGTCTGTCAAATCATCACCGTGTCCGTAGTACTGATAGCAATTAACGACCGACTTTTATTTCAATTTGTTTTAATTTAATTGCTATTATTTCACATTTATTTACTGCTAAAATTTGTTATTATTTATTCAGGAATTTTATTTTTCTTTTTTTTATTTACAGGAAATGTGGTTATTCTTAGGAATTCATCCCACAAAAATTAGGGAGAAAATCCCGGTATTAAAATTAAAAGCGCTGAGCGTGCCAGCGTACCTGGAGAATGTAGTTGTCGAAGCCAAATGCGGCGACAATGCGCTCGAGCGTGGTGTGGGTGACGATGATGAGGTAGTGTTTGTCCAGGATTTCACTGTAGAACGCCGTCTCCCGCAGATGCGGCATCCACCACCGCGGCGTCCTGTCGAAATTGATAAACAATTCGTTATTTTTTTTAATAAATCCTTTTACGCACACACTCCGATAAAACATTGTAAGTTAAATCGCAATAATCTCGGAAACCCGGATCCTGGAAATCCAACGAGAATCTTGGGTAGTATTTTCCGGCAAATTTTAAATTTAATCTTTTCGGTTTTGTATCATGTAAACCATATTCAATTTGTCTATAATATTATAAATGTATTTATAATTTTAATCATCATTATTAGAACTTGTTTTATGCATTTTAGATTACTGGTAATCTGCAGTAAACTGTAAATAACACTTTTCTCTGGATTCTGGAACAATAATCCAAAATGGGTCTGATACGTTTATTTAAGCGTTGCTTGATGTCAGTTTAATTTAATTCTCAATTATCTTAATTAATTTGCCGCAGCATTCAACAAAGAAACCCGAGAAACCAGAAAATTCTGATGTAAAATGACAGTTTACCTGACATGGTTTTTGCTGCGCTTGGTGAAGCCCTTGAGGATCCCCTCCCCGCCCCACAGCCCCAGATGCGCCTCGGGGGGCATCATGGGGCGGACAGGTTGGTCTTCATCAATCTGGCTCCTATCAACACGCAAACCATCCGTCAGAACCGTCTAAACCCGTCTGCATTCTGCAACGCTCTACACACTGCAAGCCCGTAACCGCGGGCGGTTGCCGCGTACACACACACTCCCTTACGTAATGCCCGTTTCGCGGTCGTAGACGTGGGGGCGCTCCGATACCCGATATTGAACGGGATGTGACTGAAAATTGGGGGCCAATGTGTAGGCGCGCTGGTAGTGTGGAGGGGTTTTCTCCAGTCCGTTGATGAGATCGACACGGCTGCGGCTGAACTGATCGCGCATCACCACCAGCTTCTCCAGGGTCGGGCCGCGCAGCCAATATGGGACGCGCATTTTCTGACCGTGAAGCGATAAATCACGGCAGATATCCGTCAAATAATCAGCACAAACTGCACTTACAATTCAGATTTGTGATGGACGTTTTAGCTTTCTACTGCACATCAAAGTGCAGAACGAAAAACTGGGAATCTGGAAAGCGAAAATCAAAGTACCAAAAATTTCCATTGACAGGAAAATCACTCACGGTCAGCAAAATATGATAAATTTGCTGATTTCTATTCCAAGCTGCCCACCCTGGGCGGTAGACCTGTACGACACTTCCACCGTAAGATTTTCGAATTTCGATTTCCGACTGCGCTTGTTGACTTTCAAAGCAGTGCTTTTCGATGCCAAAAACATTTTTTTTCTTATGGAATTTGTCTAGAAAATTTAATAAAATAAAATTCTTACTGCTGGCTAACTTCACCTTGCTTAAAGACTGTGTGCACTGTGCAACGATTTAATTTTAATATTGATGCATTCAATATTTACTCAAGTTTTTGTATTGATTTGATGTTTTGCTTAATTTTTTAAAATAAATAATGCAAATCGAAATTTTTATTACCACCGTTAATTGTGATGCTACATACTCCAGACGCATTCTTAATTATTTTGATGTTTCCACAGTCTTAGACAGGCGTAGACACCGCAGGTTCCGCTGATTTTTAATAATTTTATTTTCTGACATTGATAAACACAAAACGTAAAACAGCAGCGTGATCAGATTTCATTCGGCCTGGATGTTGCCGCGTTCGGAAACGTAGATTCCGTCTAAGAATTTGCGGATGTCCTTGTTCTTCACGGTGGTCGATTGCTGGATGCGGGCAGCTGCAAATGAAAATCAAATAATTATTACGCTATCGAACAATTTTGAAAAACACCGGAATTTAACCGGGAAAAAGCTAAATTATTGGGAATTTAAAAAATAAAAAGCAACAGCAATCCACATTAAAAATGGAATTTACATGATTTAATTTACTGATCTTTACCAATTCCTTTCATCCTGTTTTTTTTTAATAACATAAGTGGTAAGTGGATAAAGCAGAAAAATATACATTTTAAAATCAGCAGATAAGACCGGAAAACACAAATCCAAAAGCAGAAAAATAATACACGTTGTGTCATAACAAAATTACAAATAAAATAAATACCGAAAAATTCTGCAAAACTCGTAGCAATTTTCCAAATCTAGCCGGCCCATTTATTAGAAAGCCCGAATGAAAATCGCTACAATGACTAAACAAACAAAATAATAATTCCGCAAAATCCACTGGCATTTTTCCAAATTTAAGGAGACCAAGATAATAAAAAAATTCGAGAAAAAATCGACAAAATGGTTAGAAAAATAGAAAATAAATGTACCTGACTGTGAAACGAGCTCCAAATCGATCCCATCAATGATCAGTTCATCCTTCTGATCGGGGGAATTGACGCAGGTCACACCGTCGGCCATCGCCACCGTCCGGACGATTTTCTCGCCCAAGAAATTGCGGATTTCCACCATGGAGTTCTTCTGGATGGCCGTGCAGTTGATGGGGAAATGCGCGTACACCGCGCGCATTTTATACCGATAACCCTGTGAAAAAATCCATTACTCCCTTTTTCACGTGAAGAAATCCAAAAGGAAGGGATTTACCAGCGTCACTCCCTTGATCATGTTCTCGATGTGCGAGCACACGGTGCGGACGGCGGCGAGCTGCTTGCGCACCCCGAACCACTTCTCCACCCGCACCCGCTTCTTGCCCACCTTGTACATGTCCACCTGGATGTGGCCGAAATTGCGCACGAGGGTGCCGCGTTTGCCCTTGACGGTGACGGTGCGTTTGGACACGCTCATTTCAACTGCAACGACAAGCAAGAACATCCATCACACGGGGTACTTCGTTTGGCGTATGCACACGGCGCCCTGTTCACAGTATATCAGGTATCATGCGCTGAACAGAGAACTCTCCAGATCAGCCGCATTGCTGAATAAAACTCCTCACGCACCATCTTGCGGGACGACGACGTCTTGATGCGACTGGAGGGTCTTCATGATGGATGATCACAAAAAGGAGAGGGAAGAGATATTCCTGACAAAATAAAGGCTGGTGTTGAATCCATTGGGGAAGTGGGATAGTTGTCAGAAAAAGTCAGAAAACTACGCGCAGAATTCAGAGCTGAGTCGACGATACGGAGTGGACGTACGCTGAAGCGTGCTACGCTACGCTTCCGCCAGTACTACGCGCATTGTGCAGTCCAAAAGGAGGCGCATTATCAAACGTTCAGTATAAACCATATCATAAAGTGCAACGTTGAGCAGGAATTTGCGAAGCTAATGTGTTTTCTGTGTGCGACGGTTTCTGCACGTTGACGTGTCATATTACGCACGGAATACGGTTTCAAGTAAAATTCTCAATTATGTAGAATATTATGTTAATCACTTTAATTTTTTCCTATGGTATAACCTGTTTAGCAGTACAACAAAAACAGCCAAAAATGTCAACAATATTAATATATTAAAATCTTGCCATTGAATTATTTTGACGTTTCGTCAATGGACCCCGCACAGGAACGGCAGTCAGGAGTTGCTTATGTGACTGTGCGCGTGGGCGGCAGTCATAGCGCCAGGAATCAGGATACACCGCGCGCGCACAATTACGTCACAGCGGTCAAGCGTTGCTCATATATATGCGTTACTCCGACCCGATGCCGGCCGAACAGATCGCCTAAAGGCGATAACGCCGGCTAAGAGGGACACTGTTGTGGTGGCCACGTCACCGCTAATTAAGGCACAGCGAGGATACTTCCTGATTCATCTTCGTCGTCCAACAATCTGCACATTAAATTTCTTACCGTCAGTAGTCGAATATATTATTAAATGAATTCATAATAATAAAATTCCACAAATTTGATTATTATTATTGGAAATTTTTTTACGGATTTCGGAACAAAAGTGTCAAATATACTGCACAATTATGCCGGCCATTATCCATCACCCATGCATGGCGATCTGCACTGCGCTCACGCGTATGCGCCCGCGCATGCTCCAAGCAGAACACCAACTGTCCTCCCGCTTATTTCCATCAACTGCGGCCCGGCCGCACGGCAACGTAGACACCGTCGGGCACGGGGATCCCGGGAAGAACACGGTTGTACCGGCCGTCCCGCGGGAGTGGATGCGCCGCGGCGGCGCGCAGTTCGTGACGTACGATCAGATCGACAAGGCCCTGGAGGAGATTCGGAGCGGGAACACCATCCATATCGCCCATATCGGGAATAAAACCACCAGATACAGCTGCGCATATACGGACGCTCCCGGGCACAAGGATGTCGCTAAGGAGACGTGGGTGCATTTTTCTCACAAATTAAAAAATTAAATAACAATGGGGAAAATTTAATAATTATTTACCATTTTTTTGGGAATTTTTGAAAATTCTCTCGGTTAATAAAAAATAGCAATATCATTAGTATGTAAGGATTTGTTATATTAATTGCAGAGTTTATTAGGGAGTTTTTTTTAAATTTTACAAAACAGTGCTCAGTTTCTGCGTAAGAGCGGAAAATATGTATTGAAAAATTGTATTAAATATATAAATATTAAATATATGTAATGTATAAATATAATTGTCATTGTTCTAAATTTAACATGGTTATTAAACATGACACATTACTTACTGGGTGAATTGTTAACTTCGATTTAATTTTGTGTACCGTGTGCGTATTTCCGACTTGTATGTACCAGGGCAGATTAACACGAGTAATGGCACAGTAAATACAATAATTTACAACCGCAGTTAATAGCGTTAAAACAAATGGCATTAAAAATTAATTTTTAATTCGAAATTACTGAACTAATACTAACTGCATTATCCAATTAATTCTTAAGCAAAAATTTCATAAATACAATTTTCGGAATTTTTTATTTCGTATAATTATTATTGAGTTATTGTCTTTGTTTCATTTTATGCAAATTTTGCAAATACAAGTTTCGTAAAATTAAAAAAATAAGAAAACATGTGAATTTTTTGTGGAGATGGATTTTTTATTATTATTATTATTTAGCGCACATTTATCGAAAATTTATTTTATGCGTATTTATTGTTTGTTTTTATTGAAAACTTATTTTTTATAGCGAATTTAAAGTTTTCTTAGCCAAACAAAAAGCTAAATAAAAACTAAAACAGAAGCTTAAGCTATTGTTTGCAGAATCGGCACGTTGGAGATGCAGCCGTTGGTCCTGGTAATGGCGCAGACGCGCGAGCAGCTCCTGCTGGCCAAACAGATCGGCGTGCGGCGCATCATCGTCTGCGTCAACAAGACCGACCCGGCTGACCAGGCGATGCGGGAGCGAGTGAAGATCGAGATGCAGGAACTGCTCACGCGATACGGGTATGAGTGCGCAGTGCGCACACCAGACCCGGCAAAGAGCAATTATTGTAGTACAGTGGCAAAGTAATCCGGGTTTCCATGAGAAATTTGCTTTTTAATTGCTTTTCTTATAAAGCAGGTTTTCGTCCAAAACATAGAGAAAAGTTAGTATTGAATATATATATCATCAATTGTTTTTTTCTGTTTTATTTATTAATTTTCTCAAATATTTTCTGTTATTATTTTGACAATATCTTTATTAAGGATCGTTCATTTATTTTCATTTTTATGATTATTGGGCTGTTCGCTGCTGAATTTAGTATTACTGCTATTCTCTACCGATTTATTATGGATTCAATTAAATATTATTATTTAATATATTATTAATATTAATTAACCGATTATTGACTTGAATTATAAATACAAACTTAATAAATAATTATAAATACAAAATGATATATAAAATTATAAATTAATTCTAAATTATATAAAAATTTAATTCTGAATTATGTATAAATTCAATGTATAAAAATACTAAAATTTTAAATTAATAGGAATTTTAAAGATGATGTATATAAAAATTTATTACAGTCTGTGCAAAAGTTGTAAACCGGTGCTGCATTGGCAGGTATGACGCAATCGGCAGTCCAGGAGTGAGCGGCGTAATCGACGGCGTTATGAAAAAGGGCCAGCAGGCCGAGATAGCCGGGCACAGCCCACAACTCAAGACCGGTATTACCGGCACACAGGTGAAGAACGGTCTCTTGCAATTAAATTTTTGTCTCTTAATTGTCGTATACGAGTACAAGAGACAGCCACAAAATTAAT